AGGCCCCACGGCTGCCTCCAGCTTAGCACCTCCAGTCCGCTGAAAGCAAGGCTCAGTCACATCCTGTGCTCACCTCCACAAACTCATCCCCAAGTCTTATTTGGTTTGCTCAGTGATACAGTTCATAGGGGTAAGAAAGTGAGCTGGCTGAGTCAGCATTCCAGACAGGGAGTGGGGGTGGGGGGTGGTTGTGTTTCATGGGGGTCAATTTGGCCACTGTATTTTATGTAACTTGGGAGCTGAGAGTGGTTTCTGCATTTTTAAATGGTGAAAAAACAAACAACAGCAAAAACAAACAAACAAACAAAAAAAACACAAGTGAGAATAATATTTCATCAGACATGAAAATTACATAAAATTCAAATTGCAGTATCCATTGAGTTTTGAATTGCATCAATAAAAGGTTGGACATATTATCCTTCTTGCTACAGGCATATCTATCTAACACCTTGATTTTGCCTCTTAGCCTGCAAAGCCTGAATAATTACTAGCTAACCTTTTATCAAAAAGTTCCAGGTCTTGGAGACTTTCTCTCCAACACCTAGAAAATCCAAATGAAACATTGTGGCTAGGACTGATCTTTTCCAATTTTTTTTTTTTTTTGCTATTTTTAATTTTTTTTTACATCCTTCTTCATTGTGTACATTTTCCCTCCCAGTTGTAACCCCCATGGGCTTCCCACCACCCATTCACCGGTGTGCCATCACCACAGTCCCGCACACTCTTCCCATCCGGTTCAGATCCCCTTCTCCCTTCCACCCCCATAAAATGTCTCTGGTTTATGGAGAAACCTTTTCAACCCCTGCCCACGTTTATTCTTATCTGGTCCCTTATGATGTTTCTGAGGACATGACTGTCCCTTATCCTCTATCGGCAGCTGGCCTAGCTGGTGCTATTTGACTCCTGCAAAGCAGTAAGACCAGGTACAATACTGACACTACTGGTCACAGTGACCGTTCCCGGAGCTGGGCTGGGAAGGGTGAGCCTCAGCACTGACTCCTCTCTCTGCCCGCAGGTCACCGGCCTTTCCAGTGCCGCTACTGTCCCTACAGTGCCTCTCAGAAGGGGAATCTCAAGACTCACGTTCTGTGTGTCCATCGCATGCCTTTTGACAACAGCCAGTATCCCGACCGCAGGTTCAAGCGCTCCAGAGTCGACTCGGAGGCTTCTGGGAATTTCGAAGACTCCACAGCTGTCAAGGCGGGGAGCTCAGTGGAGCTGGAGGAGGGCGGCAACCCCCAAGAGGAGCGCAACTGAGGAGTCCAGCTGCCCAGGGCAATAGCCTAGTTCGTGGTTTGCAGATGATGCTACCTGCATCATCAAGGAGTTTGCTAACTGCATTCTAAGGGGAGGGGGCATGTACAACGCCCCCCGCCACTAGTGTATAGAACATTTAAAAAATTTTAAAAGATATCTATATATGTATATATTTAAAAAAAAAAAAAAACAAAATCCCAGCCCTCGAAAATGGCTGCTAAACTGTTACCCGGCAACAGGTACTTCCAAACAATGCAGGTGGGAGAAAAGGGATTTCAAAAAAAACCGCTCCTGTCCTCCAGCTCTGAGGAGCTGGGGCCCCCTCTAAAGTGGTCTTTGTCCCCAGATCATGCTCTGTACTGAAAAACAATACCCTCGAAATGATTGAGGGCTGCCTTGAAGATGGAGGGGCGTGTTTTCATTGTTGAAAACACCTCGAGAACCTGACACCGGCCTTTGTCATTGGTCTCACACCCTGATGAGCCTCGGGGAGCAGCCCTGGAGGTGCCAGTCAGGCTGGAGGGTCACTGCAGAGAAAATCAATCCCGCGTGTGGTAACTGCACTCGGAGCAACCTTCCCGGCTCTACTGCGCCAGGGCTGCCGCCCTGCGGTCTTGTCATCTTCCCTGGGCATTTTGAAAAAAACACACAGCCTAATGAATCAATGGTCAGGAAGTGTCTGCAGACAATGCCCGTTGCAGGTTTGATGAGTAATTCCTTTTTTTTTTAGATCAAATTGCAATATTGAGGGAAATGCTTTTTTTCTTGCTTGTCTATTTCTTTTTTCTTTTTTTCTTTTTTTTTTTTTTGCTTCAGTTTTTGGATGAAAAAGCAGGTTGCTGGTTTAAAAAAAAACAGAAAAGGAATACATTATATAAAATGTTGTTTGAAGAAGCTAGCCAGCGTTATCCATAGAAGGTGCTGGTGAGAAATGGAAATGTAGGAAAATAGATTGTTTTTTTATTATGATTTTAAAAATTTTACTTGAATGAAGGCTGCTGTGGACCTTATTATCAGATTTTTTTTTCATGTGTTAGTTTTTATAAGTGTCACAGACATGAGGCAAGATTTCTTCTCCAGCAACGCTTATGAAAAAGCTTGTATTAAAATATGGATCTAAACATCCTGCTCTCTATCGCTAATGAAGAAAACTGTTTGAGTTAAAATGTCTGTTTTTGTAAAACAAATGTGTTCTATATTTTTGTAGATTTTAGATTTTCTACTGATTGGATACTCCAAATTTATCAAGTTCTACACCACCCGGAGGGAGATTTTGAGGGCCAATAATAAAACACTTAACTCATTTGAAACAAAATGATTTAAGGAGACTTGTAAAGGGTTTATTCTTGAATCTGCTAGAATGGCGTAGAAAGTTCAGCCGTTTAGCATTCTTCCTCTGCGTGACGTGTAATTGGTGCTGTTGCTTGTGATGGTACGGAAGTATTCAAGTATTAACTTCTTCTAAAACAAAATCATTCAGACTTAAAAAAAAAAGTCAATATTTCCATGCAGGCTGGGAGCACAGAATAAAACCCCAGGGCCTTAAAAAACTTCAGCTCTGCCTACAGCAGTTTACAAAAAAAATACTAAACTGCAATCAATGTAAATAAAATGCTTAGCGCTATCCTGAGACCAGAAGGAATCTCAGGCTAATAAGGAATCCGGTTTGCATATGCTGTTGAGAGGGTGTCATCTACCCGAGGTTTCAGTGTAAATGAGGTCTCTGTGCAACTTGAGCCCATCTGGCATAGTGCAAGCTGCTTTCTTGTTTTTCTAGAATAGTTCTCACTGCCTTACTTAAACCGAGTTGATACACTTAATGCAACTGTTTCTATGATCCTAGAGAAAGGACTGAAATGTTACTGGAACTTTCTGACTGTAGTAAGCTTTAGAATTTTAACTGCACTACTGTGTTGGTGGCTGTACCCGTTCCTTGCTTCCTGTGTGCTTGTTCTGCCTTTGATATCTTAGCAAAGAGAAAGAAAAAAGAAATAAAAAGAAAAAAGAAGAAAAAAATGTAAAAAGGTGAAAAAAAAAAGAGAGGAAAAAAAAAACAAAAAAACAAACAAACAAGAGCCACATTCCATTTCTAGCACTTTGGAAGTTTCGGTATATTCTTCATGTCTTCTGAGCACCCTCAGATGCGACAGGCAATAATTCTGTTTGTGACACTGGGAACATCCCCCTCTTTTTCGTGGTGTGTGTGTGTTGATTCCATTTTGTCCAGTGCTAACGTTCTTATTCCCCCCTCTGACACAGGCCTCCTTTCCAGAACATTCGTAACTTGTAACACAAACAAGTGGCAGCCGCAGTGATGCAGTGTCAGTCTCTGAATGTCATCAGGTCCTTCTATCTAAACATGTCAAGTTTTCCCCTGTAACTTCTGTAGTCTGTGATGCTGGTCATAATGCTGTCTACATTCCTACACAAAGAAAAAAAAAAGTCTATCTTGGAGGAAATCTGAGATCAATAGAGTAGAGGATTTTGTTGCTATGCTTGTAACAAGTAGAAAACTTTGTATTTAAAGTTTATTCTTGGTCATTATTTATTATTATAATACATCAGTTGACAGAACTTTATTCTGGTATAGAAAGTATTAAAAGTTGTTTTTTCAGCAATGACTGTTTTCTTTCTGCTGTTAGAATAAAATGTCTTTGAAGCAGTCCAGTTTATCCAGTGTTTTACGCAATAAAACCTCTACCTCTAAAAATAAAAAAAAAAGTCATCTTTTCCTATCGCTTATATTTATCAGGGAGGGTAAAAGCCCTGTTGGCAGTTTGAACAGAGTTGGCTAAGATTTGCTCAAACCCCACTGATACCAAAAGCCTTGCAGGGTCTGAGTGGATGTCCCCACAGCCGTGTGCTTTGGCAAGCTGAACGGGTCCAGATGCCCAAACGACATATGTGTGCCCGTGTGCATTCATGCACACCCACGTGTGTGTGTGTGTGTGTGTGAGAGAGAGAGAGAGAGCTGTTTCTTTACAGGCATCAGTTCCAGTAAGAAACAACCTATGGAAAGGTGAAAATGTGAGACACTCAAAACCTTGGGAAAAATTCTTCCCCTTTACTGGCAGAAAGTTTGAAAAAAAACTCATTCAGCATGAGGAAGTCTTTTACTTCCAAATGATGGGAGGATAATCTAAATTCTTCTTCCGGGGAAAGAAAGAAAGGATAAGGGATAATACAATCGACGGTGTGTCACCCTGAGAAGGCAGAGTTCCATGCTGACTGGGAGGGTTTGCAGTGAGTGTCCCAGAGTTGATGAGCAGTAGCTTTTTGATGTGGTGTGTGTGTGTGTGTGTGTGTTTAAAAGCCAAGTGGCTTAGTGCCTCCTGCAACTCTGGAATACACAGGGCCCCAGACACGCTGTCAGAAAAGGCTTCTACTCACACGTCATAGGAATTTGTAAGTGACCATGTTTCTTTCAGGACACTAGATGGTGTCCTCTGGATGGGTGTCTGAATAGGGTCCTGGGCTGTCCCAAATGTCCCTTGTGACAACAGCGAAGGTGAGTTTTGAGGTTATCATGAGGGGTCTGAGGCAGCCCTATGAGGGGTACAAGGATGAATGACGCATCGTGGCTTACTCAAGAATGAATGAAATGTCATGTCGTGGCTTCCTCAAGAGCTGCACACAGCCTGGGCCCCAGGCAACCAGTCTGAGGTGGGAGGACCCTTCAGTGGAGGGGTCAGGGAAAGGGGGGCCTCTCCGGGGCTGGAAAGTGCCCTCTGACTGGCCCCAAGAGCCCAAGGCCTCAGGATCTCACCATTTTCAGGAGACACGGAACATGGATTGATGTGCAGCTTTCCAAGTCTTGCTTGTTTGCTGAAAATGTTTAAAAAGCAGAGTGATGATTGGATGGATGGAATGTGGTTTCTTGACCCCTAGAAAGGAAGTCCAGTCTGCCCCCAAGAAGAATGAGGGGGCTTGCCAACAGGATGCAGCCGTTTCCTACAGGATCACAGACTCTACAACAGGTAAGTTCAGGAGAAGAGAGTAGACTAGCACTTGGGTGGGGGAGAGGAGAGAGGCAGGGACACCCTGAACCAGAAGGAGCTTTCTTTTTGGGGTAATAAAAATTAGATCATGATAAAGTTACCCAACTCTGAGCACACTAAAACCCACTGAATTGTACACTTTAAAAGGATGAGTTTTATGGTATGTGAATTATATCTCAATAAGGCTGTTATAAAATAAAAATAAAACTGGAAGAGGCTTTTTTAAGAAACATCAATATACATTTCCATCAAAATATTTTGATTTCTCAAATCGCTGTGGAGCATTGTCAGATGAGTACCTTGTAAAGAATGCAAAATGTGGGTGCACCGTCTTAAACGCGGGTGCATCTAGGACTTCCCGACTGAATGATCTGGAACAATTCAAGTGTTCCCGGTTCACTGGTCATATCGGTAAAATTATGAAACTAAACGCAATACAGTAGGGAGATCATGTTTGCGTCCTGTAAAATGCCCCTTATCGTGGTGTGGTAAGTTACTCGAGGTTAATTTCATACTCACAAAACACTGGGCAGTAGAAAAGGCTCTGTGTCTGTGGTCAGGTGACATGCGTCCTCCATCCATACCCTTCAGACAGGTGATCCTGCACAGAGGTCTTAAGATTTCTGTTTTCTTTTTCTCACATTTGAAAAATCAGAGTATTAAAACTTGGCATTCGGGCCCTCCCTGGTGGTACCACGAGTTAAAGCGCAGCACTATGAAGCTGTCTGCAGCCACTGCAGCACGAGTTTGATCCCCGGCCAGGGAGGTGACCCACAGGGCGCAGCAGACGTCTCCTGACCCACTGCTGCTCCCCTCAGCAGTGTGTTTCAGTCTATCTACCTGTTCTGCCCCCCACTCTGTCTCTGGTGAATCCTCTCACCCCCTTCACCCCAGTTCTTGTATGCATAAAAAAATAAATCTTAATAAAATAACAACTTGATATTCACAGGGGCGGTAGAGGGCAGCTGGGATCGAGTACGATGCAGTGAGGAATGAATGGCCTTGAAGTTGGGGCTCTTCTACTGGTCCAGTGGATGTCTGCAGAACACCTACTGTGCTCCAGAACACCTACTGTTCTCCAGGCCTGGCTACAAGCCGGGGGTCACCTGGCCAGTCAGGGATCATGCTGGCAGATCACTTCAGAGGAGAAAACTGAGTTCACTCCAACGATTTCACAGAGACGTATAACACATCTGCGAGAGAAAATGAAAGCCAACATGGCTGTCACCCTTGGCAGTGATGACTGACGGAGTGAGAGGGAGGACAGGCGGCAGGTGGACAGGCAGCGCTGGCCAGGCCCTGGGGCCTGTCCAGGCCCCTCTTGAGGGCTGTGTGGTCCTACCAGATCACGCCAATGCCCCAAATCCGCTTCCTCATCTAGAAAGCAGACAAACCAAGGCACCCTCTGAGGTTAGGAGGGAGCAACATGCAGAGGTGTGCAGGACAACCGTGGGGACACCGTGACACCGGCTGGGAGCCACCTGCCCCAGGAAATGAAGCACATCCTTGGAGCGAGGTCGGTGAGCCTGAGAGCCAGCTCAGAGCCACCCACGTCCACTTACGGGACCCACAAGAACCACCAGCTGCCAGCCTGCAGCCAGGCGCCTTGTCCTGTGGGCAGAATGAGTGGACCCCTCTTGGGCCCCAGGTTTTGTTCTGGCTCTGGGTCTACCCTCTGTGGGTGAGCCTGGTGACCCCAGCCACAGTGCCCTTTGCTGGAGGAGTCGTCATCGGATGAGAAACTTCCTGATTCGCC